CCCCGCGGGAGCGCGCGCGGCTACACGTAGTACTCGCGGTCCTTGTTCCTCTGCTTCTTGTGGCCGCCCTTGGAGCTCGGCTGCTTGTCCTTGAGCAGCGAGCCGTTGCTCTGGGCCGAGTTGCTGATGTAGTTGCGCGTCTCGTCCACCTGGTAGGAGCCCTCGTCCCTGTTCCTGTACTTGTACATGGCGTACAGGAGGATGAGGATGCAGAGCGCGGCGGCGGCCACTATGCCGACGACCATCCCCGTGGTGCTGCTCGACTCCCGGATCACCTCCGAGGCGCCCGGGACGCGTCGCACTCCCGGCTCCGTGGGGTTTGCTGTGGGCACATTACGGAACATGGGGGAAGTGATTAGTGGGCTCTTCAGTTTGGTGCTGTCTAGCTCGTAGGCCGTGGGCAGCGGAAGCAAGACTAGGTCAGGCTGGGGTCTGAGATCACGGTGATTCATTTTGCCAGCTGGCAATTTGGGCACCATCCCAGACGAGGAGGAGGCCGTGAAGCGGATCAGCTCAGGGGACAGAGCTGCGGTAGAAGTCCTACTAGTTTCGGAGACTTGGTTAGGTCTAAAGTCCTTGGATTCCCACTTGGGCGCATGTGCTTTGTAGCCACCTTCGAAGATGGAAGTGGAAAGACTCTTATCTGTTACCAAGGAGAAGGTGGTGTAAAAATCTTCATCATCGGTAGGGGGCAGGTTAGAGTCAAAGGTTTCCCCTGAGCCATACCCAGATATCACCAAGCCATCATCATCACAACCTTCGCTGCCTCGGTCCGACAAGCAAGGTAACCCCGCCTCAGAGGCCATGGGCAGGGGATCTTTGGTGGTCTCAACAATGGTGAGGAGGGGGCGGAGGGGAGGGGGGAGTGTAATGGAAGGTGCACGAGTAGCAAGAGGAAGGGCGGCTAAAGGGTCTTCTACAAGGAGAGGGACAACTAGTTCACCTCCTGGGATTGGAAAGAGAGAGAAACACAGAGTTAGCACAGCTGTACATCAACACGCTTCGGCCGCCCCCACCCGCTGGGGGTTCGCAGGGCTCCTCATCGGGGACTCCAGTGGCAGCCTGACCCTCGAGCGGATCTGGAACCCGTTCTTTGCCTCTTGCCACCCCATCCTGAAGTCTACAGACTGGGGGGAGGGGTGCGGATTTTAAAGGTACTCTCAAGTAATTATGTGGAAGGAATCCAGGCAGGCCTGTTCCCAGGATTTGCTTATGGGACTGAGGACGTTCCACTGGACTGTTGCGGATGCCGCCTGGATATCAGAACGTGTGTGTGCGTGTGCGTGTGCGGTGTGTGTACACACAGACTTGCACGCGGTGACTTTGTGAACCATGACGTTTCTCGATGGCCGCCTTGGGTTTCTACTTACTTGCTCCCATGAGGGTGAGAATGACATATTCTCCACGTCGCCGAGACCAAGATCAAGGAACGGAAAGGACCTTGTCTTTAACGTTTTAAGTTACTACCTTCTATTTCACATTCATCAAGCGCAGTCCTCATGTACTACGTGCTAAGTGAGGGCAAGTTATAACAGGTTAAAACTGCTCAGCGAACAAACCCATTTTGATGGTGCTTTTCCAGAAATTGCCCTGACTAGCAAAGACAACCCACCTTGCACTGGTCTAATGTTATGTTAATGTATTGCTTTTATGATATAAGCAAAATGTCCTGAGCTGGATGCCAGATTTTAAAAATAACCAGCCTAGACAGCTGTGACTTACTGGAAACTTACTTTTAGATTCAGAAATGTAGAGACAGCAAAGTGAGTTTTGAAAATCAGTGATTCTTAACTAGAACGGCAGAAATATATCAGTTTACCCACAGACCCAACTTACTGCGCTTATAAACAAGTGGACTGGGTCAGGAAGGAAGGTTCAGGTGGGTCGCTAAACCTAGTGCCTTGCAGGTCATGGGTACCACAAATATTCTGTGGCGGATAGTACTCACCTAACTGTAGAACCAAGCTTATTATTTATGTACATACGACACACCATGCTACTTTTCAGAGGAAGAATCTCAAGAAGTCACAGGGCATGTCTCTTCACTGGATTTTATCCAAAATCTTTATTCCATCTCTTGATTTTTCAAATCCTTTAGCAACGATGGCATGCTGTTCCCGCCCCAGTTAGTCCGTCAGTTGAGATGCTGATATGGTATCATCGAGCCTCTTTCTGGGCTGGGTCACTAAGCTCTCAACCAGGTACAAAGTCTGTGTGTTCTGCCCTCGGTGGTGTTTGGTGTTTAAGTATCTGTGATCAGATATGACTTTACGGAGGTGCCCCTGTTGGTGACAAGCCTAGACATGTGGCTCCATGCTGAGAAAGGTCTAGGGACATTCCAGGTAGACGAGCCTTTGAGCTTACACAGTCTTCCCAGGCTGTTCCCCCAAAGACTGACTGGCAAATTAGAACCCTCTGCTCTGTTTTCCACACCTTGTATCTTCAAACGTGTCTTGTACCCCTGTGGAAACTGTTGCATCAAAAGGGTCCAGATCTCGGGTGGGCTGATAGAGAAACCTGCTGCACGCCTGCCTCGCCCCTGAGGGGAATGCCTGCCCGCCTGTCCAGCCAGCTGCACTGCGTTACAGGAGGATGGAGCTGGGGGGGCAGCGATGCACATGATACATAGCGTTGGGAAGGCGAGGGACAAGAGGGCATTGCACAGTCATCTCTGGCCTACCTGGTAATGTGACCGTATGTGGGGAAATAAAACAACGGCCTCCGTGAGAATCTCAAAATGATAATTTGGTCTGCGCTCTACACCCAGGCTTCTCCCCTGGTGCTTAGAGTTTGAAACTATTGAGCAAAATGTTCTTTGCGTTCCTGACTTGCTTTACTGGACCAGCAAGCCTATTTTTCACATTGTGAACATATATAATTCATATACCTGGCAACTTAGTTAATGCATAATTTACGCACTTTTGCTAGTTTTTATAAATGGGATTTGGAGCGTGTTTCCCTAAAGGTAAGCCGGTCATAAAACTAACCCTGGGCTCCCTTTCCCCCACATTCTTCTAGCACGGGTCCTGGTGTTATACGTTGTGCTTCAGGTGACCGTGGGGGAAGGCGGGGTTTGAGTAAAACTGCCGAGAGGAAGAAGTGGAAGCCCCTGCGATCTGTTTAAAGGTTCCCCGGAGATTACTCTGGGGTCGTGTTATTTCCTTCAGAGAACAAGACAGCTCTTGCCCCCCTCTCCTGGAGCAAAGCTTTCCCACGAGGGCTCTCCAGGCACGAACTCTGGGGGCATTTCTTAGGGCGGTGAAAAGTCTGCCCCGCGTATGAAGCGGGGAGAGGACACTGGGCCGGAGACACGGAATCACTGGTTTGCTGGGAGGCAAGGCCTGGTGCCCGAGATTTCAACATAAAGGCAAACTGTTAGGCAGGATGCAGGGTCCCTTCAGGTGAGATGAAGACCATCGTCTTCATGATTACAGAGTGGCACTCATTTGCAATTTCATTGGCCCATCTGTGACACCCAACTGCGGTCTTAAATTTGCCTCTTTCCCCCCCTTCTCTTTTCAATCTTAGCTAAAGCTTCCCCAGTGTCTCTGTTGTTAAAAATCTACAAAGTCTACACACTGCTCGCTGCGCAATTGAATCATCGCCACTCTCCTCTGCTATCCCCTTCTCATTCAACACCCTAATGCGAGTGTTTCTCCTGGAATAGAAAAATAATAATAATAACAACATAAGAATAAAAAAAAAAATCCTTTTCAGGATGGAAAGAGAGTCCTGAAGCTCGCTTATTTATAAAGAGCTTCTGAAAGGTTGGTGAGCCCCTAAGTGAAATAAGAGCTTATCTCAAAACTAAAATGATTGGTATGCTATAGCAGAGTTTAAATAAAAGAAGCGGCCAAAATGAAGAGGCTCCAGTTTTCTTTGCCATTTTGTTTTTATTCCTGGTAGCAGTGATGAAAATGATAAATGATGCCCCATTTCAGGGAAATCAGAGCCCAAATCCTGGTGGGATTTAATTAGTGAAATGGTAGCAGCTTTCATAACCCCCCTTTCCTGGCATCTCAAGGACCTGGAAGAATGTTTAGTTTAAAAGGAAGTCAACCGGGATGTGGGGGTCATAATTACAAATGGGAATTATGGTGAAAATAGGTGGAAAATGTTAGGTAACTGTAAATGTGAAGGTGCCTGTCGCAGGTGTATGAGTTGAGTTGTATAATCAATTTTAATATTCAATTCCACCTTTAAGAGTTAAGATGATTATAGTATCCTAGGGACTCCACGGGCACACACCATTTGAGATGAGCAGGTGAGGGATGTATTTCTCCCATTATTAGATCCTTAAAAGAAATGACTTAGGTTGTGGAAGCCTATTTAAGACTTTGTTTGTTTTAATCCAAAGTGACTATACTGAGAAATGTTGGAGCAGCTGATAATATTTTTGTTTCACTGCCCAAAGATTATGGAGTCATTGATCTACCAGATGTCTATGCTTATAAAAGTATTCATAGAAGCAGCAAGTCTAAAGTCATGAGGGGTTACAGGCAGAGTGATACAAAACCTATAATCTACCAAAACTCAAATTTCCTATTCCATCTCCAGAATTTTTCTTTGGTTGGGAATAAGATTTGTATGCCTTAAAGTTATCATGTTAAATCGGGAATATATACCCTTTCTTGACAGGGCTGTGTTTTCCTTTAGACTAGAGAGATCACTAGGGATATAAAGGTCTATTTTAGCCCCAAAGGCTGCCCTGCTTTTTTGCTTTATGAGCGTATTTATAGATATATAATTCATGTGTCTAGGGCTGATATCCAGCAAAAGGGGCTCCCTGCCATCGCAAAAGACGGTGGATTAAAAATTTAACAGAACTCTTCTGAACTGTGAGGATGTTGCGGGTGATGGTGAATGTAGCGGGTCATCTCTAAAAACAAGAGCAGCAGCAGGAAGTTTCCACGGGGCCCCAGCCTCACCTCCCTGGAGATATTTGAGTCTAAGAAGTCACAGACACCAAAGCGAGGACACTGAAGAGCTAGACTCTGCGAGAGGACACCATGCTCTGATTCTGTGAGTTTCTTTTATGCATATTTAGGTTCTTTAGCTCATCTCTTACTTGTATTTTTCTAACTCTCTGCTGGGAGTTTCACATGTAATGAGGGGACACCATCCTTTCCCCACTAAATGAGTTGTTGAATGATACCCACGTAGTTCCTTGGTGCCCCCTAAGTGTGCACTTACAGCACATAAACATTCCAAAGCTCATAATCAGAAAATTGTGCTCCATCCACCTTCAGAAAAAGTAGCCATGGACAGACAAAGCAAGCAGCCAGGGAGAAGACACCAGAGAAAACTCAGGTGTCTCCGAGG